ACTGCAATTACCGTACTCCCGCCAATCGATAGGACGCGGAATTTTTCGTTGACTGCCTTGCTTTTTTATTAGATTTAATCGTTTTTTCTTCTGTTTCTTTTTCGTTTTCGTGTTTATTAGACTTGATTAATTAGAATGACCCCTCCTACATAAACGACGATCAAGACCGCATTGGAATTGAAAAGAGCGGCCAGCCAATTCAAATAATTAAAGGACTCCCTACCTCACAAATTGCGCGCTCCAATCTTCCATCGCAATTCCGCGATAGGCGGCGGGTGCGGAGTCTGCGACGCCGTGTTAGGGGAGAAGTTCCCGGACCCCCTGGATAGGGCACCATAGGGAGCCAGAGATTGTATCGTGTGAATGCCACATCCCTAGTGGACGAGTCTCAATGACTTTGTAGTAGCTGCTTTATCTAAAGAGACTCCCACGTGAAGAGTTCAAACAACTTGTCATAACTCATGGCGACAATGAAAGGCAGTTTGGACAATTTCAGCTTAATGTAGCCACCTCTTTGCGCGATGGGAGCAAGTTAAATCTCGTCCAAACACCTCTTACGTGCAGTTCCCATCCTCGCACAATCTTTTTTCACTACTTTAAAAAAAACCATTAAGTAGGCGAATTTTTTCGCTTTCTTCGCCACCGATGTACTCCTCTAGATCAACACTTCCTTTTTCAACCCAAAAAGGGTACCTCAAAATTATTGTGAACTGTGCCTTTAAGCTCTTTTGTTGAAGTTCAAGTTTTCGAATTTCATCATGGTGATCGGGGCTACCGACTGTCATGGTGTCCGTTTGACCTCCTCAAGGATCCAGCCAGTAAGTGCTCAGGCCCAAAGGTTATCTTCAAATGGTACGACGTGTCCACCCCACCCTCAGGTGAGGTCATCAGAATCCNTTAAGCCAATAATGGCATCCCTGATCTTCAGTCGCTGATGGAGCTCGGAACTGCAGATTCCCTTGTGCACTTACGTGGATCGGGAAATCCAGAGCATTATCTTGACCAGAGTTCGTTGAATGACATTGACTATTGAAATGCGTAATACCAAACTTTAGCAAACATTATCTCGGTAAGAATGCGCCAACAAGGGAAAAATGAGGCGATCCATTAGAAGAAGCTGTTCACACAACAAAACGACACAAAATTTATAACATTTATAACCTCGATTGCATAAAGCTATCATAAGTAAGAATCAAATGTAGAATTGAAGAGCACAGCTACCCGCTGAGTTTTTCATGAATACACTCGTCGGTATCTATAAGAAACTAAAGCATTTAGTGATGCTTATTTCCTTACTTAACAATAATGCGTCATTACGAGAATGTACAATACTGAAATATTATAATTTTCCACAACCAATTTCACAACTAGGAAACGAGGAGAGACAATTTCATTTCAAGAATGTCCGGACCAGGAATGATCGTTAAAAGTTGGTGAGGTAATTACAGACGTTGCCTTTTTCAAAATTCAGGTCCTAAATCTCGCGCCATCTGCAGGAAGCAATTTAGACGAGATCCACTTTTGTGCGATGTGGCATCAAGAGACCTTAGCACCACAAGGCGAATTGAGTGAGGGGACACGCATTTGGGAACGCAAAATGGAGCTCCCTTATAAGGAAAGAAACCGTGGGCGGAGCGGAACAGCTGGCCCAGTAAATGCTTAGCCAGATTTGGGACTCTGAGTAGTGTCGGAATCACTGGTTAGCATTACTGACTAGTTAAAATGCACTATGAAACGTATGAGAATGATACAAAAACATTTGAAAGCATAAAGGAATAAATTTTGCATATTGAAAAAACAAAACAGCGCTAATATCATAGCGACAATCAAAATCTTCGATCACAGTATTACCTGGATAAAACCGACAGCAATTAATAATTGTATTAAATATTTTCACAAACAGCTTTCTGTCAAGGCAGATTTTATACACGCACATCCATCTTGACGCAAAATTTTGGTGAATACAAAAAAAGTAATGAGGGATGGATAAGAACTTTGAGAAACAGAGAGAAAGAGCGAGTGGAGAGAGTTGTTCGGAGAAAGATATGACGCCCAAGTGAAACAAAGCACCACATAGTGGGTGATATGACTGAATTGTAGGCCTCGAAAGAGAAAAGAGATAAGGCTAGCAGCATTAAACGTATATAGCATTTCGAATACTAATTGCAACGGTGGGAAAGAGTAGAAGATGTCAGCTTGTGTCGGGTGCAGAAGGCCACAAAATTCGAGTAGTTTGAAAAACTACGAAATTGTAATCTGATCAAACTGTGACTACAACTAGCGCGTCAACAATCAATCACCTTCCAATTCACCAGCCTCACATTGACTATTCCTATGTAGTCAAATCACTGCATAGAAGACAAACCCGTTAGAGCTGTTCTTAGCCACCGTTCGGACTCCTATCGACCTCTGAAAAGTCGAATGTTACCATCGTTTGCTGCACATGGAGAAATTACGTTAGTTTCTTACTGCAATATCTCCCTTTTCTTCAGAAACGCGATGAACGGTGTCACACCGCTGAATACAATGGCGCCCACCGAGCGTTAACTGGACTCGAAATCTCACTTCAAGCTTTAAGGCTTTAAGGCACGATAAGAATGGTTTCCGAGATTTCCTCATAAAATGAAAGCAAAGCCCCGTCCCATACCATACATTGTCATTGTAACGTCGGAAAACGTCCTGTACCGAGCACAATAAGGTACCAGATATTGTATCGTGTGAAGCCACACCCACTGTGGACGAGTTTGAATTTTGCAGATTGCAGAGACTGCGCCATTCACAAGGGGACCAATGAATGAAGTTCAAACAACCTGTCATGACCTATGGCGGCGGTGAAAGGCAAATCTGAACAGCTTTGGCTTGATGTGGTCAGCTCTTAGCGCAATCGTCAAAATACCCCTTCCATGTCATTTAACCATGAAAATCTTGTACGATCTCTATTTTCACTACTCTTGAGCAGCCTTTTTTTGTTGCAAAAGCGGCGAATTTTCTCGTTCTCCTCACCATCGATGCACTATTCCTAATCGATACTTCCGTTTTTTGAATTAAAAAATATACCCCAATATTATCGTGAACTGTGCATTTCTAGCGCCTTTTAGTTCTTTGACATCGCTAGAAATTTTTTCGACTGGAAACATATGAGGTCTGAGCAACGTTGCGACCCAAGAGACTCTAACAATGGCACCTAGTCGATACGTATTGAACAAATACATTTAGATCACAGTTTTCAATATTAAAATCTATGAGATAATACGAATTGAAGAACCTCAGCTGCTCTTTGCACTTTGTCCCGGTGGATTCAGGAACATGACGAGGGCCTGCTCGATACTTTAAGACGACTTGATCTTGCCGCCCCAATGTAATCGAAACCGACCATTCCTCCAATTAATGTTTGGTGTGAGCATTGCACGGATGTAAATAAATGGTGCCAGTCCTTCACGAAACGCCCATGCCCATGCAAATGCTGGCAAACGATAAGGTAAAGGACCATTCTGAAAAAGCAATTACGTGTTCTCAGATTCGATTGTGTTCTCCAAAATCAACAAAAGCACACCTCCACTCTACTATAGCATATATGATAAGTTAGCTAGCCTAGCAGGCCTTAGTTGCTAAATGTGCTTGATAGATTTCGACCGCTGAAGCAGGCAACGCAATTTTCTTTTTGGCCTTTCCGCACAAACGGATCTGTTGGAAGGTCAGGTTTAGGTCAACTGGGAACCATCGTGAGATGCAATCACTAAATTTCAGCAGCTTCGGCATTATTGTAAGGGCCAGCAGGTTCGTTTTTGGTTTCATCGCTTGGCATTCAGGCATATACCGCATACAGATGAACAGAAAACCTATACTACTAGTACAGCAGGTACTACACCTTTTTCACAAGCAAACGACTCACACTATGTATATTAGAAGACGTGTGACTTGAGCAATCTTTCAAAGACAATGAAACTATTATATGTTTTTCATGTGTCTTTTCGAAGCTCTTGCTACTCCACTTTATTGGTTAGCTTTCGGCATATAATGCCTTCTTCAGACCTTAACTTTACAATACATAGTTGCAAACAATCAGTCAACAATCAGTTACTACATAGAACACATCACATCGTATCAAACCAACCGGAAATAGTGGGGAAGAGGGGAGTGGACCTATTAGCGGGAACTTGAAAGAGAAATGGAACACCGCTCTTCTCCTGAGGCGACGGAGTATGATCATTCAATCAGTCTCAGGAGGTCACGCATCTCCTCCTTTGCGTTGATTTCCGGTTTGATACGGTATATTTCCCGTGCTTCCATGATTTTCCTTTCCAGGGGCCGTACCAAATATCTATGCAAAACCCTCACATCGAAAGATGGAGCGTTCTCCTTCTCATGCTTGAGTGTACGGTGCCTGGAAAAGCTGCTGTTTGGGTAGGCAGCGGGATTGGCCAACGCTCTTCTGTGTTCGTCCAGGCGGACCTTCAGGGGTCTTGCGGTCTCCCCCACGTACTTTTCTCCACATCCTTCGC